TTGTTAGTTTGGTAAGAATAAAAAAACTACGTACCATGGACACTGCTGCGGATTCTTTGGGGGAATGCTGTTGTTGTTGTTGTTTGTCCTTCATTCTCGAAGAGGACCATGATATTGGGGAGGTGGTGCTATGACATACAAATGAATTAGATTTAAGTGAGGGAGGTCTGTGCAAAGTCACCAACCTCACTTTCTCCTCCAGAGCAATCTGGGTCCAGTGGCTAGGACGATTTACCAATAGATCAGGACGATTGGAGATGGCCCTGGATGCTGTGGGTGACCTTGGCCTTTTTAAGCTAAGGTCTTCAACAGGTCTCAGTTTGACTGAGCCAACGCCCATCCAAGGACAACGGTTTATGCTTTGCCTGGCACTAGAATTTTTCAAGATGGTCACAAAGCTGTCTAGAATTAGGGTCTAGTCCAATACACCCAAAGACATGGCTTGGCTTGCAGAAACTGTGAATATTTAAATGGAGAGGAAGCAGAGTACAGGGAGTTGATCAAGGAAGTTCCCTGATCAGCTTGCAGAGCTTTAGTTTGGGACTTTTAGTGCTTTTTCCTGAGGTTGTATGGATCTAATGAGGATGTATTGGTTGGCTAGGTAGGGTTAGAGTGATCAGAGAAATTTCTGTCAATTGCAGAATCTATGCTTTTCACTGAAGAAAGATACAGTGAACACTGAGAATGAGCCAGAGACCTGACAACAGATATTGGTCCCTGGAGAGAGGAAATGACCTGAACATTGCCATTGGCCAGCAAGGACTGAGAGACCATCCCCTCCTCCATCTCTGGGATAACATTAGCTGGGGCAGAGATGGAGCAGTGAGAGTTCCTGAACACTGAGTTCCTGGGCTCAAAATTGGAGAGGCAGTGTCAAAGGTATATCATAATTGCATATGTTCTTGTGAACATATGCCTAGGAGAATGGAATTATATTGTTATTTTTGAGAGTTATTAAGGGAAAAGGAAGAGTACTTTGACATCACCAGCCTCTTGGAGAAAAGAGAATTCCAGGTTCTTGTGTCCAGTGAGAGGAGGAAGAACTCCTGAGTAGCTTATCCCCTTGGGATGGGGAGGGGGGGAGACACAAAAAACATTGGTTCCAAAACAGAAGAAAGAGACTGATCCATGACATAAGGGAGAAAACCCTATTTTTTATCGTTGATGGTTACTGTGAATTGTTTCAACCATGAAAGTCTAATGGGAAGGTGGTTACCTCTCTAGCCTCCTCCAGTTGTTTCCATCTGGGGAAAGTTCAAGCCCTTAGGCTAACTCCTGATGTTTAGCATCCTGCATCTTTTCCTGTGTTGATGAAGTGCCTATCAAGAGCTAGAGAGGACAGAGGAAATCACCTGGTATAACTATTTTATTTTAAAATATTAAATTCTTTCATTATTCTGAACTTGACAAACATCCACAAAACTTAACATTTCCGTTTACAAAGGACCTGAAAAAGAGTATTGTACATGAAAATTTGAACTGAATAATTTTTAAAATTATGTACCAAATTCAGCATATTAGTTCCAAAGTGTCCCACAATCCTCCTAATTCATAGAAGAAGAAACTGAGGTCCCGAGAGGGGAAGTAATTTACCCAAGGTGACAAAACTAGTTAGTGACGGAGCCAGAATTTGATCCTAGGCCTTCTGAATCTATGCCCATTGCTTTTCTCTTATAGCATTTGCCTTCTATTGGCCATCTCTTCAAAAACAGCCTCTCCTCTTAAATATGACCCAATTTTATGTATCCATCTTTAACTCTCACTATTCCCCAATAGTTATTTGCAGCCTACCCATGCCATTTTTCTTATTTTCGCATCAACAAATTATACTTATTCTCATTTCATTTTATTTCTGTTTATGTTATCTCTATTCTCTTGTGCTTATTTTAAATCTAGTTTTAGGGTTCTATCTCATTTACCAAACTTTCCCTGCCTACGCCAGCCCATAATGGCACCTTTCCCTTTGTGCTCTTGTTCTGATTACTTTAAAAATTAATTTCATATTTTATTTCCCCTATTACATGTAAAAACAATTTTTGACATTCATTTAAAAAAATTTAGAGTTTCAAATTCTCTCCCTCCTTCCTGGCCCCCCTCCCATTGAGAAGGAAAGCAATTTGATATAGGTTATACATCTGCAATCATGTAAAACATATTTACATGTTAGTCATGTTGTGAAAGAAAACACAGACAACCCCCCCAAAAAAAAACCAAAGTTTTTTAAAAAGTATGCTTTGATCAGCATTCAAACTCCATAGTTCTTTCTTTGGATGTGGATAGCATTTTCCATCATGAGACTTTTGGAGATGGCTTAATTCCTTGTATTGCTGAGAAAAGCTAAGTCTATCAATGTTAGTTATTGCACAATGTGGCTGTTACTGTGTTTAATGTTCTCCTGGTTCTGCTCACTTCACTCAGCATCAGTCCATACAAGTCTTTCCAGATTTTTCTGAAGTCTGCCTGCTCATCATTTCTTATAGCACAATAGTATTCTGTTACATTCATATACCACAACTTGTTCAGCCATTCCCCAGTTGATGGACATCCCCTCAATTTCAATTCTTTGCCACCACAAAAAGAGCTACTATAAATGTTTTTGTACGTATAGGTCATCTTCCTTTTTGTTTCTTGTTTTTGTCTTTTTGGGATACAGACCTACTAGTGGTATTGCTTGGTCAAAGGGTACACGTGGTTTTATAGCCCTTGGGGTAGTTCCAAATTGCTCTATAGAATGGTTGAATCAGTATACAGCAGTGCATTAGTGTCTCAATTTTCCCACACCTCCTCCAACATTTGTCATTTTCCTTTTCTGTCATATGATCCAATCTGAGAGGTGTAATGTGGTACCTCAGTGTTGTTTTGATTCGCATTTCTCTAATCAATAGCGATTTAGAGCACTTTTCTTATGACTATAGATAGCTTTGATCACTTTGTCTGAAAACTGCATTCATATCCTTTGACCATTTATCAACTAATGAATGGCTCTTATTTCTATGAATTTGACTCAGTTGTCTATTTATATATTTGATAAATGAGGCCTTTATCTGATCTTGTTCTTATTGTCCGTGCCAACCAATTTGGCAATGCCTTGTATCCTATCTTGTATGCTTCTCTAATTATTGCATTGCATATGTGATCATGGGTTGTCAAAAAATACATCAACTAATGACATACCTACTGATAGTGGTGATTAATATGACTATGAATCAGGGACACTGAGATCTACAAAGAATCAAAATTGAAGGGAAGGGATATCTGAGGATATAGCCATGTGCTCCATTGGAAAATGGAAAAGTTGCAAAATGTCAGATATTCCACGAAATAAGAGTTCCAGTATTATTCTTGGGCCCACAGCACTGCACTTTTTTCAGTCATTATTTTATTTCTGCTGAGTGTGTAGTCCCTGTGTTTGAGGAGAAATAGTTCTTTCTCGTCTGACACAAATGAACTTTCAAACGCTCAACTTATGGTTCCACTTACCATTTCTATAAATTTGAAAACCAAATAACCCTTCCCTAGACAGTACTCCCGAATATGTTATCTTCCTTTTTTTGAATAGAAGTTCCTTAAGGGCAAAGGCTCTCTTGCCTTTTATATTTTCATGTCTATTGTTTAGCACGGTGCCTGGCCCATATTAAGGGCTTAATAAAGCCTTTTTTCATTCATTTTAGTGACACAAAGGGCAATGGCAAGATGTACGGTGGGCATAGTTCTCCAGAATGTAACTAAAAACTTATGTTCAAGAAGTATCATAAAAGGAAGCATCAATATCACTTCTTGGTCTGTATCCCAAAGAGATCATAAAATGGGAAAAGGACCCACATGTACAAAAATATTTATAGCAGCTCTTTTTGTGGTGGCCAAGAATTGGAAATTGAGGGGATGCCCATCAGTTGAGGAATGTCTGAACAAGTTATGGCATATGGATATAACAGAACACTATTGTTTTATAAGAAATGATGAGCAGGCAGACTTCAGAAAAACCTGGACTTACATGAACTGATGCTGAGTAAAGTGAGCAAAGCCAAGAGAACACTGTACACAGTAACAGTCACAACCTGCCACATGGTAGCTACTCAATCCATACTAGTTACCTTGAATTAAATCCAGATGTCTGTTCTCTCAAGGACTAGTGATGTTGGACTGGACTTCTGTCAAAAGTCATATTGGATAGTGTCTCTCTATCCTCCGGCCATTATTCTCTATTTTCTCTTAAATTGAGTGACCCATGGAAGTAGTTGGGAAGACCTTTTCTACTTCCTTTCCTTCACAGATCATTCACCAGGTTCTAGGTGCTGAACTAGGCTTTCTGGCTTTAGGGTCCAAAGAGAAGAGAGAAGGTATAGCCCTGGCCTTGAGGAGCATGTAGGCAAGCAAAATCCAGATAAGATAGAGGACTGTGGGAATGTACCATACAGATGAGATGGTTGAACTACATGTAACTGGGCCTCATGCACTTGGAGAAATAGTCAGAATGAACCCTCAGCAAAATTTTGAACTTGATCAAGTTTTCCCTTGGGTGCTTTCATCTTTTTTGGGAAGCAGTTTCTATTCTAAATCATCTTAGTCTCTGTTGGTTGTCAACTAATTCCTAGACAGGGGTGAATTTTGAATTGGGGCTTATTGTCCCCTCCCAGGAGCACTTGCCTTTAAATGGACTATCAAAGATTTCAAAGAAGTAAAGCTTAAATGGTTAGAAAACAGGCAATTTGTGGGCAGGGGTCACAGTAAAGCCTTTTCTCTCTATCCTGACTCCCCTCCCACAATTATACTTATTTCCTTGTTTATAATTTAGAGATAGAAGAGACCTTAGAGATTATCTAGTCCAAATACCCTATGTTGCAGATGAAGAAACTGAGGCCCCAGGGGAGGTAAGAAAAGGCAACAAGTATTGAAAAAGCACTTACCAGGTGTCAACCACTATGCCAAGTGTTGAGGGTACAAATACAAGCAAAAAGAAACACAGTCCTTGCCTTCAAGGGTCTTAATTTTAATGGGGGAACAACACACATGAATAATCAGAGTGGGGCTGAGGGAGGTGGGGGCAGGGCATTAAAATTCAGAAAGCCTGAAGTACAGCTGGGAGGGGAATGAAAGTTGGCTAGACTGGGCCTCTGTCCAAAATTGAGACCCCAGGAGGAACTCATCGATAGTAGAAGGTCAGCGTAGCAGAGGGATGTTCCAGGTTGATAAGGCCATGAGGGTTGATGGATATTCCAGAGAAAAGAGGCCCCAGGTCCTGAGGGAAATTCTAGGGTTTTTAACTATAGCTGAGGCATGGTGTTGAAGTCTAAAAAGTAAGAAGCATGGCTGGGAGGGGATTGCAGCTTGTCCAAAGTCCTGTAGGGAGTAATCAGCAGAAATGGGACTGGAAAACAAAGAGAAGATAACTGAATAAGAAATTAAGTGGCAGTCTTCAAGTATTTAGAGTGCTCTCCTGTGGAAAAGAAATTAAATTTGTTATACTTGGCCCCAGAAAGCAGAATGTGAAGCCATTGGTAGAAGTTTCAGAGAGGAGGATTTAGACTCAAGAGAAGGACAAACCCCTTAAACATGAGAGCTCCTAAAAAGCAAAATGGGTGGCCTGGAGAGGCAATGGGTTTCTTTTTCCTCAGTAGAATCCTTCATAAGAAGGTTTACTGGTCAATCACTGCTGAACTAGCCGGCTGTGAGTTCCCTCTGTCTCTGAGAGTCTGTGTGCCCAGGTGCTCTGCTCCAGCTCCAATGCTCCTTCCGCTATGCCATGCTTCCTCCCACAACGAACTAGCAGGCAGCCAAATGGCTTGCTCTATTATCTCTAGATGCCAGAGCCCCAGGGGAGCTGAAATCCTGACACAGTACAATTCCCAAATATCAGTTAGCACTTTAAACATCCTTCCCATGCCCCTGAATAACAAAGGTCACTTAGATTGTCTGTTTTGCCTGGCCTTCTCCAAGACTTCATTATTGGCCCCAGTCCAGAAGCATTGTGACTGAACCAGGAAAAAGTTGGAGCAAGGCATTTTTTTCTAGGCTTTCTTCCTTCTCAGGATCCCTCATTCTAGACCTCTTTAACAGGACCTTAGACATCCCTTAGTTCAAACTCCTTCTTTTGCAGTTGAGGAAACTGAGGCCTAGAAACAAGTCACCCAGTTCTTTGTGAAGGGCAGAGCCCAACTCAGACCTCCTCACTTCCCACATGTTCCAGGGCTCTTTCTATAACACTCTCTAGCCCTCTGTTCTTAATCATTTCAACATCTATTTACTGCAATACACCTACTATGTTCAAGGATGGGTTGGGATATTCAGCCACAGTCTCACATAGCTGGCATTTGTATAATGTTTCAGTATTTGGAAGTACTTTACACATTGTCTCAATCTTTTGATCTTTACAACAACTCTTAGAGATAGGTACTATTATTATCCACATTTTGTAGATGAGGAAACTGAGGCAGAGAAAAGTTAAGTGACTTGCTTAACATCACACAACTGTAAAGTGTTCTTGGCAAGATTTGAATTAAGTCCTCCTGACTTTTTTTTTTTTTGCTAGGCAATGGTATTAAGTGACTTGCCCAGGGTTACACGGCTAATAAGTGTCAAGTATCTGAGGTCGGATTTGAACTTAGGTCCTCCTGACTCCGGGGCTGGTGCTATATCCACAAGGTCTTCCTGACTCTTGATCCAATTCTGTGTCCTGCCTCTGCCATAACAGCTACCATCCACCTAGTTCAAGTCAGGTCAATATACTCATGACTATCCCCTTCCCCTATGAATTTCCAAACAGGATCCCGAGATTGAGTTGTGGTCTGAGCCCTACAGCCCAAAGACAATTTATCTGACACCCAGGGCAACCTCCTTCCTCATCCCCTTCCTCTCTAAACTGTCCCCACCCCCTTCTCCCAGGAGGCTAGGCTTCCTCTCTGACTGCTGAACTCTTTCCAGCAGGAACAAGGGGTTAATTCTATTAAAGACAGTCTGTTTACAGACCATTAGTAATAATCACCACTTTGACTCAACTTTCCCAGCCTCTGTAACCGTATACAAGTCAGGTGAGATTAGGCACCTTTGCAAGAAGGGGCCTCTAGCAGCTGACTGATTCAGGGCAGATCCCCACTAACCTATGCTAGGTGGGCTGCAGAGAGAGTCCTTGACAATCAAATTTTTGTGAATTGGATTTTTGTAAGTTAAGTTACATTTGAAATGCACTTAAGGAGTTCACTACATAAAGGAACCATATGCCTTTTCTAATATGGTCAGCCTCCTGTGATTTATCTTTTGTTTTGCTATGGATTTTCATATGTGGGTGATTGTCTGAAAACAGGGGACACTTGTTTACTCACTAATTAGGGGAGCCAGGAGTTTGGCTCTAAACTTGGATTTCTACAAAGGTTGAGAATTTCCCTTGGAATCTGGAGGTTCAACTCAGCTAAATTTGACAAGTATTTATTAAACACTTCCTATGTGCTAAGTAGGGCAGCTGGGTGGCATGGTGGATAGAGTGCTGGGCTTGGGGTCAGGAAAACCTGAGTTCGAATTCAGCCTCAGAAACTAGCTGTGTGACCTTGGGCAAGTCACTTAACCTCCATTTGCCACCAGAGATGGAAATAGAAAACCTCTTTAGTATCTTTCCCAAGAAAAACTCTGTGGACAGAGGTCCATGGGGGTACAAAGAGTCGGACAGGACTGAAATGACTAAACAAACAAAAAAAGTGACAAGCTAAAGAAACACAAGGCCAAATAAGGACTTTATATCCATTAAGGAGAAACAGCAAAGTTAATACTCAGATAAATAAATACAAGATACATTTAAAGTAACTAGGAAGGAAGTGAAGGTGGGGAAAAGCACTAACAACTGGGGGGATGGGAAAAGGCCTGGAGATGACCTGAGCCCTGAAGAGAGCTAAGAGTTCTAGTAGGGGAAGAACCTTCCAGGTATGAACTGCAGAAAGAACTGGGCTGTGCAGCAAACAGCAAATGGGTCCATTTGGATGAAATGCAGTGTGTGAGGGAGAGTTATTCTCTGACAGCTAAAATCTTTCCAGCAGGAACAAGGGGTTAATTCTATCAGAAACATATATTGAAACCCTAGGGATTTATATGCCAAAGGGGTGGGTTTGTATTTGATCCCAGAGGCAATGGGGTGACCGGCTTCTACAAAGGGCAGGGATTGCTTCTTTTTTCTGAGGCAGTTGTGGTTAAGTGACTTGTCCAGGGTCTCTGGGCTATTAGGTGTCTTGAGGCTGGATTTGAACTCAGGTCTTCCAGACTCAAGCCCACTACTTTATCCACTTAGGTGCCCCTTGGGGATTACTTCTTGATAACTTCTTGAGCCTGTGGAGTGTCAGCTCTGCTTTAGGTATGTCAGTTAGGAAGCTATAAAGAGGAGGAATTATTATTACTTTTTTTTTTTATTTTTTAGGCAATTGGGATTAAGTGACTTGCCCAGAGTCACACAGCTAGTAAGTGTCAAGTGTTTGGTCTGAGGCCAGAAAAAACCTGACTTCAGGGCCGGTGCTGTATCCTACCTGCCCCTAAAGAGGAGGAATTAGAGAGGGGAGGGACTGAAGGTAATGAGATAAATGAGGAGGTTATTGCCATAGTTCAGGGAGAGGGGGTGGATGAAGGCTTGAACTAGTGTGGTGACTAAGGGAATATAGAGAAGGGGACAGATATGTGGCCACAGCCACAGAAGACTCAACAAACCTTGGCAACTGATTGGATAGAGAAAGGTGAAGGGAAGGGAAGATTCCAAGGTAACTCTGAGGGTGGGAACCTCCGCGAGTGGAGGAATGATTGTGTCCTCGACAGAAACAGGGACATTTGGGAAAGGGAGACGATAGGGGGAGATAAAGAATTTAGTTTTGCACAGATCGAGTTTGGGCTACTTACAGGATAGCTGGCAGATGTTCAACAGGCGTTTGGTGAGTCAAGACTAGATCTCAGGAGACTGAGGGGAAGGGTTGCTCTGTGGATTCGGGAGACATCTTCCTAGAGATGTTAATCGAACTGTGGGAGCTGGTGAGATAAGAAGGCAGAGAAGAGATCTCAGGAGACTGTCCTGAGGGTATATCCATGAACAGAGGAAGAGGATGGATGGCAAACCAGTGATGGAGAATGAGGAGGATCTGTTGGAGGGGCAGGAAGAAAATCAAGACAAAACAGTATTAGAAACTTAGGCAGGAGACAGTATTACACATCCTCATTCTACGTCTAAAAGTAAGGGAGTGATCCAGTTTCAAATGATCAAGAGAGATCAAATTGAATGAGAACTGAGAGAGCCATTGGATTTTAACATTGAGACTTGGTGGGAGCAATTTGAACTGAGTTGTGGGGTTGAAGACCCATTGCAGAGGTTTGAGAAGTGAGTGGAAGCACAGAGGGTAGCCAGGAAGCTAGTGGTTTTGGGTTTTGTTTGTTGTTGTTTTTTAGGAGGTTGGACCTATGGGAGGCTAGCAAGATAGGGAATGTGGAGGGGAGTAGGGAGATAGTAGGTTTAGACATTGGAGGTTTGTGGGTGAGTGAAGCTACCTGCTTCCTGAGGTTGGGGGACTGTGGCCAAAGCTTCGGTTGGTCCTAGAAGAGCTCTCACTAAGCCAGTCCAGGAAGGAACAGTAGTGGTCTGTCAGCTGCACTCATGGGACCTGTCGTGCCTTCCCAGAATTCCTGCACCACGCAGGGTCTGGGCAGCATAATCCTCCACTCAAAGCCCTGCCTTTGTTCCCCATTACCCAGAGGATAAAGTCCAAAATTCCTCCAGAAGAATCCAAAGCCCTCCATAATCTGTCCAGTCCCCATTTTACCCTTTCTCCCACTTCTCCCCTAGAGGAATCCTTAATTCACACTAGTCAAGACTATGCACAGTCTCCTTAGTGCACTATAGCATCCCATCTCCTTGATTTTCCTTATGTCCCTCTTCCCAGTTCTAACCATCCTTCCCGTTCAACCTCAAGGCCCACTCGGAGGGGGTTGGACTAGGTGACCTCCACAGAACTGTCCGGGTCTCAGTATGTGATCCTATGATCCCTGGGTGGGGTCTTTCAGTTTACTCCAAGCCCACAGAGCTCTCTTTTCCTCCTGAATTGCACCTATTGTCTCTATCAGTCATTTGACACATAGCACATAATGCTTTCTCTTAGGATCATATGATTATTAATCTAGATCTAGAGTTGGAAGGGACCCCAGAGACCATTTAGTTCAATCCCCTTACTTTTCATTTTATTAATTAAATTTCATTTTTCAATTAATATTTTTTTCCTCTCTCTCTTTTATGTCCTCCATTTGGAAAAAAAAGAAAAGCAAAACCGTTTAAACAAACATGCATAGCCAAGTGAAGCAAATCCCTCACAGTGTCCACGTTCAAAAAAATACGTCTCATTCTGTACAGTGAGTCTAGCGCTTCTCAGTCAGGAGATGGGTAGTAGCACACTTCATCAATGGTCCTCTGGAATCATGCCAACTTCCCCAATTTTATGGAAGAATCAACATTTGTAAAATGCCTACTATGTGCTATGCATTGTGTTAAGCTGTGGCCCAGGGACTTTAAGTAACTTGTCATTTTGGGGAGAACAGATAATCCCCTGAAAGGTATTCTTTTTATCAAAACAGATGAGCAACTGTTCTGCAACTTTGAGAGCTGCCTGAGGCCCTGAGAGATTTTGTAATTAGACCAGGGTCATTTGGCTAATATGGGTCAGAGGTAGAACTTGAACTTCTTTACTTCAAAGCTGACTTGCTTATTCGCTAGACCAGGGAGTCTTAACCTGGGGTCTGCAAACCTATTTTTTTTAAAAATATAACTTATTTCAGTATAAGTTGTTTCTTTTACAATCCTTTGTAATTTATTCTATGCATTAAAAACATTGTCTTAAGCAGGGGTCCATAGGCTTCCCCAGACTGCCAAAGGGGTCTTTGATGTTAAAAAGGTGAAGAACTTCTGAACTATACCATGATACCTCATCTTATTTTTAATCTTTTTATATGACTAAGTTTTACCTCCTCAAGACTAAACACTCACTAAAAGTTTCTCTTTTATTCTTTTTTTGTGTGTGGAGGCTATTTTAATTTATATTTTCCAAATTGGCTTTTATTGATGTCTTTTTTTTTACATCCTTGTAATTCCCCCCTCATCTCTCCCCTTTCCCCCCATCCCTACCCCCAAAGCCGTCTCATATAACAAGTAGTCTTTAAAAATTTTTTTAATTTAAAAAAAGGAAAAGGAAGAGAAAAAAAGTCTGAAAATGTGTACAATGTAGAACAAACACCTTGGGACCTGCCACCTCTGCCCAGGGGAGGGGTAGTTTCTTTAAGGCTGACAAAGCATTCTCCTCACCACAGTTCTGTGGGGATAGGTAGTATAGATATTATTATATTAATTAATACTATTTATATGAATTAATATTATTTATATTATTATATAAACATCATTAGTACCATTTTTTAGATGAGGAAACTGAGTCTAAAGGAAAGGTTGTGACTTAGCCATAGTCACACAGCCAACTAGTAAGTGTCAACTTCACAATTTGAATGGAGATCTCCTGACCTTGGGACTAGCCTTCCTGCCACTATACCACTCTGACTCTCCAAGTGCACCGATAAGATCCAGTAGAGTAAAGACCATATCATATCACTCTTCCTGTCCTTCCCCTGGGGCCTAGCCTGGTTCTCTGTAAACAGTGCACACTCAATAAATGGTTATTATTCATTAGAGCCGCAATTAGTCATGGAGTCATGTAGTTGTCATGGATTGTAGAAATCATTCTCTTCATTTCTATGTGAAGAAACTGAGGGCAGCTGGTAGGAGAGGTTGGGGGTGGGGGGTGAAGGCCTCCTGCAGAAGTTAGTACTTAAGCTTTTGAGGTTTTGAGGGAAGCCAGGGATTCTAAAAGGCAGAGGTGAGAAGGGACAACATTCTCCCATGGATTGTCAAACAGCCAGTGTAAGGCATGAAGAGACAAGATGCTGAGAAGACTGATAAGGTAGGTAGGAAGAGAGCAGGTTGTGAACAGTTTCAAAGACAAAACACATATTTGAGTTATGGAGTTAATAGGGAGTCACTGGAGTTTATTGAATGTGTCTATGTGGAATTGGGAAGAGGGAAGGGGCGACATGGTTAGATTAGGGCTTAAAGAAAATTATTTTGGCAGCTGTGTGGAGTATGGATTGGAGTGGGGAGAGACGAGGTAGGGACATCAATGAGAAAGTGATAGCAATAGTTCTGGTGTGAAATGAGAGCCTGAACTAGGTTGATGGCTGTGGAAGAAGAGAAAATGGGATACACACACACACACACACACATATATGTATCTATGTATATGTATCCCCATATATATATATATGTAATATGAGAAAATGGGATATCAATCATATATATATATATATATATATATATGTATACATACATATATATATGGATGATAGATACACACACAGATCTGTCTATCTATCCGTCTGTCTATCTATGTATTTATGTGTGTGGGCACAAAGAGGAGTATGATATATGAGCACACACACACATATATACACATATGACATGAATAAAGGTATGAATGATATATTTGACAGCTGATTTGCTAGATGGGATGAGTTGGAGTGAGGAGGGGAGGATGACACCGAGGTTGCAACCTAGATGAATGAGAGCATGGTGGTGTCCTCAACAGTAAGAGGGAAGTATGAAAGAGAGGATTTGGGGAAAAGATAAGGAGTACATATTAAGCTTGAGTGAAAGCAACTTATCCAAGGCCTTACAGTATATTTCTAGACTTTTCTTATCCTGTTTGTTTAGAGATGGGAGCCCCCTCAAAGATGAATGGATGTTGATCTTCCCTTGGGAAATCTTTCTGATGTTTTGGACCTGGGCCAAGATGAACTACTCCAATTTGTGGCAAATTGCTTTTATTCTACTGACTCCTATGCAATTATCTTATCCTTTCTGAAAGCCACTCCCATCCCTGGTATTTAGTTCCCACCCCAGAGCACTTAAAAATAGTTTCAACTGAGCAATTGAAGGCTCTCAGTAATATAGGGTTGTAGGTTTTTGTATGATATTAATTGAAGTTTCATTGATGCTTTTTAAACATCAGAATCATTTCCTGCTATTACCCTCTATCCCCTCCCCCAAATATAAACCTTCCCTTGTCACAAAGAAAAATAGTTAAGCAAAACCAATTTACACAATAATCATATCTGACAACATTCCTTGCACATGTTTTCAAATCCCCCAGCTTTGGTCTTGTTCGTACCTACTCTTTACACTTAACATGTCAGTATGGTCTTGGAGTCAGAACTGCTAGGTTCAAGTCCCATTTTTCTCACTTACTACCAGCACAATCCTAGGCAAGTCATTTCACCTCTTGGGACCTCTGTTTCTTTATCTATTAAAAGAAAGGACTTTTGACGGATAGCCTATTAAATTTCTTCTTTTGGATCTAAGTCTGTGATCAGTAAGCTTGCTCCAGATCTGGGGCTCTAGGACAAAGAATAAAACTTCCAGCAGATAGAGTGGACACTAATCCATTGAATTTTTCTTCCTAAACTCAAGGATTTGGCAAGCCAGGATATTAGTGGGAGGAACTATGAACACAGTTCAGAATGCCACAGTTTTACATAGTTCTCATCAATGGTTATTTAACTTTGGTTAGATTGGTCTGGGGATAATGATGATATAAAACAAAATCTGATAGTCTGGATGAAACTCATCCATAGGGGTTTGGTTTTTTTTTAAATTGTGGGTCATTTTCCTCTTGAAATCAATTCTCTGTTTTCATCCCCTCTGTAACTTAAGCCAACATCTGTCTGAAAACCTTCCAGGTATCACTATTTTGTTTATTGCTGCTCAAGCATTTTTTATGAATCACTTGGCTCTCTTCTGATGTCTCCTAGTGGTGATGCTGAAGTTTGAGAAACTTAAGCCTGTTGGTTGTAAGAGATTAGAAAGAGAATTCTACTTTATTGCCCCCAAAGATATAGAAAATTGCCAAAGATTACTGATCTAACCCCAAAATCCACCTCCAGATGTGGATAAATTGAAGGTTAAATTTCAAGGAAAACTAGGATTTTAATTGAGAAGCTGCATGAGCTCCAGTGGATGTCTCCCTAACTTTTCCCATTTTGAAAGAAATCTTGAAGAAATCAAATGTAACATTCTAGCCCTGGATCATCTTTTTCATCACTGATTTTCTGGAGGTGATGCCCAGTTTTCTTTGACAGGTGCTTATTGTTTTGATAAGCAAGCAGGTAATGCTTGATTTACTACATGGTGTGCACCAGGAAGACAGGGATCGCATATTATTTAAAATTTATCTCCTTCAGCACACTGCTCTTCCTATGGTAGGTGCTTAAGTTAACAGTAGTGCCACTGTTGGACCTGGGGTCTGCAGGATACCTTCTTCCAGTAAGGGCACCCTCTGTCTGCATTCACAAGGGCTAGGTTTGGTTCTGGGGGAGCCTGGCCTGGAAAGAGAGAGGTCCAGCACTTTTTCTCTGTCTCTTTTTATCCTATCCTGGATCTATAGGGAAAGTCATTTAAAGCTTAGATTTGGCTGGAGTATAGGTCTCCAAAAAAGATAGGTCAGCTATTTATCTTCCTTGACACAAAATAAATGCTTAAAGTGCAAGAGTCATAGCACACACAATGACAAACACTTAATACATGATACCTTAACCCATAACTCCTACTCAAATCTTCTAGCATGTTGAAATTTAAAATGTTAAAACACAAAATATTTTATGTGACTACTAAACAGCCATTTCACCTTTACCTTGGCACTGCATTGTCCAAACAACTCCTTTAAATTCCATATCTTCTGGGCAGCCAGGACATGGCTCTTCTTCTCTGAGAGTTCAGTTCCAAAGAACTTCTGCTTTGGGGCAGCTAGGTGGTGCAGTGGATACAGCACCGGCCCTGGATTCAGGAGGACTTGAGTTCAAATCTGGCCTCAGACACATAACACTTACTAGCTGTGTGACCCTGGGCAAGTCACTTAACCCCATTGCCTAGCAAAAAATCCCCAAAACAAAACAAAGAACTTCTGCTTTCTATCAGCTCAAACTGAGGGACCCAGGAGCTCTTGACTTTTGTTAACTCATGAGATTGTTTCTTAGGCTGGAAACACCCATTGCAACATCACTCTTTGACATATACCCAGTGAAAGAAACACGAGCAGCTGGTGGCTCAAGGTTCAGTCTTAAACTCACAAGACAGCACTTACATCCCTTGCCATAGTAACTGGAAAGAGGGAGAGGAGGAGGGCACTCTCTGTGCTAGTCTGTGTAGTCTCCCCCACAGGAGGGAGAGAACCTCTTCAGGGTACATATGAAAGAGAGAGAATGATAGAGGGTAGATACATTATTTTTATGGTTTACTGAGTAGACAACTCTTCCTGGCTCAGTGGCCATACTTCTTTGATGCAGCACGTTCCCCTCCTCTTCCATCATGGAGACCAAAGGATTTCTTCTTCATCATTAAAGGTCTGGATGTCCTTGGGAACATGTGCTCCAGAAACTAACCCAGGGAGCTCAGCTCCAAAGTTCCAATGGTATTACTTCCATTGCAACAATAAATTAATTTTTGTTGAATGAATGAATTTACTCTTCATGTCTGTTCAGTATGGTATGGCCTGTTCCATCTGCAACCACCACGAAGAAGCCCAGCTCCTAACCCCAGATCTTTTTAGGCAATCAGTACCTCAGCTGGATCTAAGAACAAGCCAGTCTCTGAGACCTGAGAATAAAATCTATCTGTTCCTCAAGATCTGCCTCAAATATCACTATCTCATCCGAGACCTCTCCGACCACCTCCAAACCAATGGAGATTTATCTCTCCTTTGCCCACCTGTGACTGTCTGTACTACACAGGCTAGCATGACAGTGTACGCTGTCTAGATTTTTTTCTAATTGGCAGTTTGATTGATCATGTACTCCCTCCCTCATGGTCTTAGCTTTTCATTCATTTATAACTTATCTTCCCTTCTAGATTGTCAGCTCCTTGAGTTGAGACTGTATCTTATACTTCTTTGTTATCTTTGTATACAGTAAGTTACTTTTTTCTTTATTTTTTATTGATACCTTTTATTGTGACATTGCTTTTATTTCCAAATATATCCTCCACTACCCAGTGAGCCAACCCTTCTAAAGAAAAACTAAAAAGAAAGAAAAGAGAGAGAAAAGATAAACAAGAAAAACAGTTCAGCAAAATAACAATCCTATCAGCTGCATCTGGAAGTATATGCAGCATTTCATGCACATTATCGTCCCCTCCCCCACCAATGAAGGTCATTTTCTCATCTCTTCTTTAGTGCAGGTTAGGTCACTCTAATTCCATACCATTCAGTTCCCTTTGTTTCTTTGGTGTTTGTACATTGTTATACTCGTACATATTATTTTCCTAGTTCTTTTTACTTCACCCTGCATTATTTCATTTGTATTCTCATTCTGCTCTGAATTCTTCATATTTGATATCCATTGATATTTCACTGAGGCAGCCAGGTGGCACAGTGGATAGAGTGCTGGACCCAGAGTCAGCAAGACTCATCTTCATGAGTTCTGGCTTCAGACACGCACTCTCTGCGTGACTCTGGACAAGTCACGTAACTCTGTTTATCTCAGTTTCCTCATCTACAAAATGAGCTGGAGAAGGAAATGGCAAACTGCTTCAGTATCTTTGCTGAGAAAACCCCAAATGGGGTCACAAAGAGTTGGACGTGAAATGACCTCACAACCGATATTCACGTACCATAATTTGTTTAGTCCAGAGGTGGGGAACCTTTGGCCTGGAGGCCACATGTGGCCCCGTAGGTCTTCAAGTGTGGCCCTTTGACTGAATCCAAACTTCATAGAACAAATAAATCCCCTTCATAAAAGGATTTGTTCTGTAAAACTTGGACTTAGTCAAAAGGCCACACACAAAGACCTAGAAGACCACATGTGGCCTCAAGGCTGCAGGTTTCCCACACCTGATTTAGTTTTTCCCCAGTAGATGGGCACCTACTTTGTTTCCAGTTTGTTGCCACAACGACAGTGCTGCTATAAAGATCTTGGTATATATAGGTCTCTTCTTTTAGACTTTGGCCTTCTTGGGGCATGAGCCTAAGGCCATCTTAGCCACCTTCTTAGTATATTCTAAATGGTTTTCCAGAATGAACATACTAATTCACAGCTCTACCAACAGTACCTAGCAGATTTCCAATAAACACTTTTTGATTGATCAATTAAGACATAGGTAAAATCTACCCATCTTTTGAATCGAGTTCTGGTCCTATATCTTTCAAAAAGCCTTCCCCAGCTATTTTATTTTATTTTTTGGCTTGGCAATGGGGTTAAGTGACTTGCCCAGGATCACACAGCTAGTAAGTGCTATGTGTCTGAGGCTGGATTTGAATTCAGGTCCTCCTGAATCCAGGGCTGGTGCTCTATCCACTGCGCCACCGAGCTGCCCCCCCCTCAGCTATTTTAGTTCACAATGATCTTTTTCTTGTACTGCAGGTCAATATGAATCACTAGTGTGACTTGGTATGCAAAAAAGCTAATAAGACCTCAAGCTGAATTGGGAGGCATAGTATCCAAGACCAGGAAGTACTTTACCCTCGTCAGACAATATCTGGAGCACTGAGTTCAGTTCTGGGCACTTTCCTAGAGTGTATAAAAAGGAGGACAACCCATGTGAGAGAGGGCCTTGACATATGAAAATCAGCTGAAAGAACTTGGGATGTGTTGATTGATGAAGAGAATATTAGTGGCTGGGTGAGGGTGGAGAGGAGGACTTGATAGCTACTTCTGAACCTGAAAGACCGTCATGGAGAAGAGACTTGCTTTTTTGGTTTCAGAGGGACAGAATTTGGAGTGATAAGTAGGAGTTTCAGAGATGAAGATTTCAACTCCATGTAAGAAAGAGCACCCCCAACAATGAAAACTGTCCCAAAGTGTGATGGGCTTTCTTTACTAATAGTAGGGTCCCCTTAACAAGAAGTTTCCAAGTGAAGACTGGATGATCACTTGTTTGGAATAATGTAGAAAGAATTCTTAGTCAGTTATTGGGTTAGGTTATGTGAACTGCAATGTCTCTGTTCTGTGAAACCCACAATCTATACCACATGATCTAACACTTGCTCATATAATATCTAGCCTCATTCTGTTTCAGCTTTTCTTTTTTTCCCCTTTTTTTGTTATATATGAATTTATTTATTTTTAGTTTTCAACATTTACTTCCACAAGATTTTGAATTCCAAATTTTCACCCCATCTTGCCCCTCCCCCACCCCAAAATGGCATGCATTCTGAATACCCCTTCCCCTAGTCTGCCCTCCCTCTTATCTCTCCCCCCATTCTCTTATCCCCTTCCCCTTCTATTTTCCTGTAGGACAGGATAGATTTCTGTACCTCTTTTCCTGTATTTCTTATTTCCCAGCTGCATGTGGAAACATTTTTTTAAAACATGTGTTTTTATCTTTGGGTTCCAAATTTTCTCCCTTCCTCCCACCCCACCCACCCTCATTGAAAAGGCAAGCAACTCAATACAGGCCATACATGTGCAGTTATGCAAAACACTTCCATAGTAGACATGTTGTGAAAAACTAACTCTATTTCCCATAATCCTATCCTGCCCTCCCCCCATTAATTCTATTCTTTCTTTTGACCCTGTCCCTCCTCAGAAGTACTTCTTCTGATTACCCCTTTCCCAATCTGCCCTTCCTCTATCATCCCCTGCTCTCTTGTCCCCTTCCTCCCCTATTTTCCTGTAGGGTAAGACAGATTTCCATACCCAATTGAATGTGTATGTTGTTCTCTCCTTAAGCCAAATCCTATGAGAATAAGATTCCCTCATTTCCTCTCACCTTCCCCTGTTTCCCCTCCACTGTAAGAACCTTTTCTTGTCTGTTTTGTGATATAATGTACCCCATTCTACCTCTCCCTTTCTCTTCTCCTAGTATAATCCTCTCTCACCCTTAATTTTATTCTCCAGATATCACCCCTTCATCTTCAACTCACCCTGTGCCCTCTATCTATCTATTCTATCTATCTATCTATCTATACATACATATAATTTTTTCCCTCCACTACCCTAATACTGACAAAGGTCTCATGAGTTATAAATATCATCTTTCCATGCAGGAAAGTTCAGCCTTAATAAGTCTCTTATGATTTCTCTTTGCTGTTTAGGTCTTCATGTTTCAGTTGAGTCTTGTATTTGAAAGTCAAATTTTCTATTCTGCTCTGGTCTTTTCATCAAGAATGCTTGAAAGTCCTCTATTTCACTGAATGACCATTTTTTCCCTGAAGGATTATACTCAGTTTTGCTGGGTAGGTGATTCTTGGTTGTAATCCTATCTCCTTTGCCCTCTGGAATATTATATTCCATGCCCTGCGTCCTTAATGTAGAAGCTGCTAAATCTTGTGTTATCCTGATTGTGTTTCCACATACTTGAATTGTTTCTTCTGGCAGCTTGTAATATTTTCTCCTTGACCTGGGAACTCTGGAATTTGGCTACAATATTCCTAGGAGTTTTCCTTTGGGGATCTCTTTCAGGAGGAGATCGTGGATTCTTTCAATTTCTATTTTGCCCTCTGGTTCTAAAATGTCAGGGCAGTTTTCCTTGATAATTTCTTGAAAGATGATGTCTAGGCTCTTTTTTTGATCATGGCTTTCAGATAGTCCAATAATTTTTAAATTCTCTCTCCTGGATCTATTTTCCAGGTCAGTTGTTTTTCCAATGAGATATTTCACATTGTTTTAATTTTTCATTCTTTTGGATTTGTTTTACAGTGTCTTGATTTCTCATAAAGTCACTAGCTTCCAATTGCTCTATTCTAATTTTTAAGGAAGTATTTTCTTCAGTAATCTTTT